TCCTCTTCCTTCCTTCTATCCTTCTCTTTCTTCCTTCTCTCCCTCTTCTTTCCCTTCTTCTTTCTTCCTTCTCATCTTCCTTTCTTCTCTTCCTCTTCCTTCCATCCTTCTCTTCCTTCCTTCTCAACTTCCTTCCTTCCTTCTCTTCTTCTTCCTTCNTTCTGGACGAGTTGAAGTCTCCGAATACTCTTCAAGGGCTACCCCATGTAGAGCACATTGCAGTAGTCTGGCACTCTTGGTTGGCCTGCTTAATCTCCCAGGCATCACCTCCCATGTGCGCTCCCATGTTTCTGCTTCCTCTGCTAACTAATTTTGTTGTTTTTTTGGTCTGCAGCTTAACTCAGCATGTGCCTGGGCTACTACTAAGCATTTTTCAAGGGCAGGAATACATGTGCCGTCCTCCGTCTTCATGCAGCTGCCACTGGTTGTGTGTCACAATTAGTTCTTGTGATTTGGACCAGCTCAAGCGGCAGGGTGTGTTTGTCCTACTGGGCTCCTCCCAATCAGTTTCTCTATCCTTCCTTCCCTTCTTTTCATCTTTCCTTCCTTCCCTCCCTCTTTTCCTCACTCCCCTTTCCTTCCCTTTTCCATCCTTCCTTTTCTCTTTCCTTCCTTCCTCCACCCCTCCCTCCTTCTTTCCCTTCTTCCCTTCTTTACTTTCCTTGCTCCCCTTCCTTCCTTCCCCTCACCCATCCTTCCCTTCCTCTGTCTCTCCCTCTTCCATCCTTTTCCTAGATTCCCCTCCTTTCCTCCATCCCTCCCTCCTTCTTCTCTCCTTCGTTCCCCTCTTCCCTCCCCCCTTTCTTTTTCTTTACTTCCTCCCTCCCTCTTTCCCCCTTATTTCTCTTCTTCTCTTCCTTCCTTCCCTCCATTCTTTACTTTTTCTTGTTCCCCCTTCCTTCCTTCCTTCTCCTCACCCATCCTTCCCCTCCATCCCTCCCTCTTCCATCCTTTTCCTAGCTTCCCCTACTTTCCTTCCTTCCTCCATCCCTCCCTTCCTCCTTCCTCTCTCCTTCTTTCCCCTCTTCCCTCCCTCCCTTTCTTTTCCTTGCTCCCCTTTACTTCCTCCCTCCCTCTTTCCCCCTTACTTCTCTTCTTCTCTTCCTTCCTTCCCTCTATTCTTTACTTTTCCTTGTTCCTCCTTCCTTCCTTCCTTCCTTCCTTCTCACCCATCCTTCCCTTCCTCCATCCCTCCCTCTTCCATCCTTTTCCTTGCTCCTCCTTCTTTCCTTCCTTCCTCTTTTCTTTCCTTCCTCCATCCCTCCTTTCCTCTCTCATTCTTTCCCCTCTTCCCTCCCTCCCTTTTTTCCTTGCTCCTCTTTACTTCCTTCCTCCTTTCATCCCTCCCTCTTTCCCCCCTTTCTTCTCTTCTTCCCTTTCTTCCTCCTTCCTTCCTCTCCTCCCTCCTTCTTTCCTTCCTTCTCTCGACCATTCTATTTCTAAAAGCAGCAAATCCTTAAGCCACCATGTTAAATTCCTTGCCTGGGTTCCATTTACCGTATTTATTGTTGAGAGACCGATGGTGGCCTCAATGATACGAAATTTAAGAAGAAAGTTTGATCCCGGAGGTCAAAGTAACAGGGAGCACAGAAGCATTAACAATCCGCTCAAGAGACAAACAGTTTGTGGTTCAACCAGGTCAAAAAATTGAGAGAAGAAAACAACGAATGTGAACTAAACCAATGTTAGCTTAGTTGGACGAGAAGAACTTTGATAGGCAGGAAGTTTAATCAGGTGGTTGAATTCTTGACTGAGGCTGCCAGAGAGTCATTGTGCCACTCAGCCCCATTTAGAATAGAATAGAATAGCAGAGTTGGAAGGGACTTTGGAGGTCTTCTAGTCCAACCCCCTGCTTAGGCAGGAAACTCTACGCCACTTCAGACAAATGGTTATCCAGCATCTTCTTACAGACTTCCAGTGTTGGGCCATTCACAACTTCTGGAGGCAACTTCTGTTCCACTGGTTAATTGTTCTCACTGTCAGGAAATTCATCCTCAGTTTTAAGTTGCTTCTCTCCTTGATTAATTCCCATCCATTGCTTCTTGTTCTACCCTCAGGTGCCTTGGAGAATAGTTTGACTCCCTCCTCTTTGGGGCAGCGCCTGAGA